CACACACACACACACACACACACACACACACACACACACACACACACACACAACCTGCAAAAACAATCCTCTTTCCATACACTGGATTTATTCCAAAAATAGATATAATGTTTATATATAATGTTTACATTTATATTACGTTTACATATTACCAAGAATAGCCACAACCTAATACAGGTTCAAAATTCACAATATTACATTTACGGAGGGTGGTTTGAATTGGTATGTGCACATCATTACTGTGTGTGTACGTGTGTGTGTTTGAGATTTTGTTTTCTTTTTTTGCGTGTGTTTTTATGCGTGTATGGATGTGTGTGTGTGTGTGTGTGTGTGTGTGTGTGTGTTACACAGGTGTGCTTTCTTCGTATCTACATATCCCTCCTTAAACCTGAGAATACACTCTGTACTTCAGAGCTAAAAACACACACACACACACACACACATACAAGCACATCTACAAACACATGTACACAGCGGTACACACACACACACCCTTCTAATGTGAAACATGATTCCCCCAAAATCTGATGCTCTAAAGAATGAAAAGCAGAATCTCTTTCCCAATGATCAAAGCTAATAAAAACTGTTGTTGACTGAGAACGTCGGTAGAAATAATCATCACTCATGTTCATAATAGTAAAATGCCTGTGTGTGAAAAGGCTGAAAACAGTGGCGATAACGTAAGAAGCCAGCTTAGCGAGAAACTTCTGATTATTTGAAACCAGTTTTCTTTACTGAGGTGTAAACAGTCAAAACCTGTGACAGAAAAACCAGCTGGGCCTTGATTTTATGCCTGAAGAGTAAAGAAATCCAAATCAGTCAGACTTCACTGAGAGGTGAAATGGCAGACTTTAAGTCCGGTCATGAAAAGTTCATATCTAGCTGTCTGGCACAACGAAAAGTTACATTTCTTCTTGAAGCACTTTAGTTTCAATTATGTCAAGAAGGCGCATCTAAGACATCAGTAGTACCCTTATAGACATTTGTTTTCCAGCAGAAATACTGTTTGACCTCAGAACTGAGGACCTCCTACTTACTTACATCTTTTTGGACACAATAAAAGGGGCATTGGGGGCGCTGCTAACAGGAAGCAAAGGGGGCATGGCTGTGCGTTCAATGAAAAAGATATGAAGCGTGTGGCTGTGCTGCTTCGTTAGGCCGGTCCGTTAGTGGAGGACTGCATCTCTCTGTAGGAAAAAAAGAAAAACATGCATCAAAAACTCAGACATTTATTTTGTTCGCCCTGAGTTACTAGGATTGTGTAGCATCAGTCATCCCCCCTCCATTTAAAATACAATTTGTCTGTAAAAAGAGTGGAATTGAGGATAAAAACCGGTGATGATGTCTACATTTTGGGAAGTACGATGTATCTGATAACTGCCCTCAGACAGAATTGTTTAGATGACTTGTATTCATCCACCTGTTAAGAAGCACGGTGACAGTTTCTGTAAATATGCAACGCTGCTCTTCCTGAAGCACTGATTTGTTGAAAGCTGATGCATTCTTGTTTTGAACTGATCTGTGTGATAAAGAAGTTGGTTGGCTGAAAAAGCTGCAGCCGCTAATGTCACCTTAGGTCACAGTTTTGTCCAGCATCAGCTGGAACAAACTTTACATTGCAAATCTGAATTTAGCTTCTGATTTTAAACACAGGTAGACACTCTTTTTGCACTTTTTAAAACTTATGAACCTCATGTTTGGTGATCCCACCCTTACCCAGTCTGGCCGTCTATAAAATAAGCTAACAAAACGCACAAACTCACTGTGTGAAAGCAGTTGACTGGTTAGCTGAACTAGCGATGATAGCGCTGGAACCATTTCCATGTTTCTTTTCTCTTTCTTCGTCTTTGTCTTTAATGGACAGTCCCTCTACAGGCAACTTATCTGCTTCACTGCAAACAAACAAAACAAAAATACACGTATAAACAATACAGAGTTATTCTGACTGTCAATGAAATCATGCAGAAATAAACCAGATGCTAGTTGCTGTAACTGATTATCTTCTCTGGACTCTTTCCACTCTTATTTCTCTGCTCAGGACTGTGATCCACTCTTCCACTGGGGCTGTGGGTGACAGCTCATATGGGTTTCTACTCCTTTTCTGCAGTTTAAAGTAACATCAAATTAACTGCAGCATGCTTGTCCGTTCACTGTTAGTAATTTGTTAATAACGTGATCTGTTAGAATGATAAAAATGCTGCAACCTCTGTTCATAGCATGCTAATAACAGACTGTTAGTTGTGGGGAGCTCTGAAATAAACTACCTCAAAATGACTGAATTAAATCAGTCAGATATCCAAAAAAAAAAGTTTTCATCTTTTCGATGGAAAGTCTAATTTAAAGGGCAGCCCTGTGGGTCATCTATGGGGGTTAGTGTATGTTTCTTTGTGAATCAGACCCTGTCTGAATGATGACACTAAAGGATTATTACTCAACGACCTGTGAAATGCAACAAGCAAACAAAAGCATCTTAAATCCATCAGGACAACATTCCACCGGTCAGAGCACAACATACCGTCTGAACGCAGGCCGGAAAACTCTGGAACCAAGAGGACATGAGAGAGGAGGGAATACAAAGTTGGAGGAAGAAACAGTAGAATTGTAAAAAAGGGAGGGGAAATAAAGTTTGGAGAAGCGGTCTCTGAAGAGCACTCGGACACGCCGCGTCAGACAGAACAGCTGCTGTGTTTGTTGTGTGAGAATGAGCACCTTGTGAAGACCGCCCTCTCGTTTTTGGCGTCCACAGTGAGCCGGATCGTCTCCTTGCCAGCACCTGTGGTGATCGTCTCTTTTGTGACCATCTCGCTGGACGTAGACTCCGTCTTTCCTTCTTCTTCGTCGCTGTCAGAGCCGCTGGAGGACGAGCTGTCCGACGCCACGAGTGGAGCTTTCCTTGCCACGCATGCACTCCACACACAGGCTGTAGGGGTTTAAAAACAAAACCACGCTGAAAAAAAAACATCCTTAGTGAACAACAATTCACTAAGACTCTGCATATAGTAGGATCACTGTTGTTTATTCATTAAATTGTTATATGTTTAAAACCAGCAAACTAAATTTAAACCTTAACAGTTGCCCCTGAAATTTCTTAAAAGCCTATCGACATATTTTTTTTATTTTTGTAAGGGTGTCAAACTAAAGGGAAGAACAGGAGGAAGTCGTCTGACACCCTAGTTTTCAAAATAAAAGTCCCCAGAGGTGTCTGAAGACATTTAAAGACAGAAACTGCATCGTTTTTGCCCACCGGAGAAACAAAAACTGTTCAGCGGTTAAGCTTGGTGCAAAGTTAGACTATAAACAAAATAAAAATAAGCTGATTTATTTACTGTATTTATACAAAATAGTTTAAATTTGAGTCATTTTATTAGTTTCTTTGCATTTGTCATACTTCATACAAATGTATATATTTAATTTTTTTATTTTTACTTACGGTTTGGGTTTAGTTTGGTGTTGTCCGATCCACTGAGCTCTGAATCCACAGGCGAGCTGCATCTGGGGCCCGTTTCAGAGCTGTTAGACAAGCAATGAGTCACAAACAGAAAACTTCACAAAGTATTCGGTACTGCTAAGCAACTACTGCTTTAATTGTGTTTACTAAAATTATTGTTTTGAATCACTAAACATAATACTTCTTGTGAAAAAAATGGCAAAATTAAAGATGTATGCGCTGATTTTTTTATTTACATCCACATTAATTAATACTAACACACGAACATGCCAACCACAATACAGGACTTTTTTTTAAACCACAAAACAAATAAATTCCTTTCATCTATTTTTCTTGGGATTATTATAGTTTTGGAGCTGTAATTACTGAGTTTAAATGTAGTTTAATTAAATCTAGCTAGGCTTCAAAATAAAGTGTTTTTCTCCCCAATATTTTCTTCACGTGGAAGCTGAAACTCACCAACAGAAAGGCTGAAAGTCGGTGAACTTGGCCCACCCTTTCTCCTCAGCCTCCCCTGAAGCTGGCTGCGAAGCTGGAGTCTCCCAAGCAGCAAAGGCCTCTCCAGCAGCAGGAGCCTTTGAGTTGACTTCTCCAAAATCTGCCACCCAGCCAGTGCCTGAGAAAGAAAAGTAAAAAAAACAGACAAACTTAAGTGAAACATAAAAAAAAAAAGATTTGTTTTGAACTTCATGAAAGGCACGAGAAAACACATCTCACCTGCAGTTGATTCCGTCTGCTCCTGACTGGAAAACGGATCAAACTCATCTTTATTGTCTTCTTCCTCAGAGTCGGACTCTGTGGATTTATCAGGGACGTCAGTACTGGAAGTTGAAGTCTTATCACAAGACTTACTGGCTGCTTGGCTTTGAGATGACTGTAAACCAAACCTTTAGAAAACAAAAACATTTAAAAACAGAATTCATAAATATTGCTGAGGTAAATTACTGTAAAAAAAACAGGAGCTTTGTGTTTTACCTGTTCCTTGACTTGGTTTGTGTTGCATAGGTAATTTCTTTCTCCTCCCAGATGTCCTCTTCATCATCATCAAAAGGCTGAATCCTCTCCTTGGAACAGGCCTCAAATACAGCTGTGTTGGCCTGTAAGAAAAAAACTAAATAACTCAAACTTTAACCTTTCAGGGGATACGTAATATTTCTGATTGGAAATTAACTTTATTGGCTCTTAAAAGTAGAAAAACAGTCCAACAACATCTTTAAGACAAATGCATGCAGACACACGAATTAAAAAAAAAAAATCTAAACAGACGTACATTGTCCTGACCAGCATCGATGTTGATATTAATCTCTGCAATCCGGTCAAATGTTGCACTGCATTGAAAGCAAGAATCACCCAAAGAGGTCAGAAACAAAATGAACCCAGCAGCACAAAGAAAATAACGTGAACTTATTTACCCGATGCTGTCATCCCGATCAGTAAACTCCTCATCGTTAAAGCCAAACTGATCCACAAAGTTAGCAGTCATCTGCTGGATTTGATAGTCTGAAAAGGCCTGAAAACACAAAACCAGAGCAGTTAAAACTCAGCTTACAACAGAGGCCCTGGGTATTTGGCGTGATTGTTTATGTGTACCTGTTGCACTGTCAGTTCTTTAGGGAAGGGGCTCTCCATATCATCTTCTGAGCAAGGCCGAGGGTTTCCAGTACTAACCTGAACATGAAAACATCCACATCACAAATGCTGTCTGTGTTTCAACTCGTGTATGATGGCTAAGCAGCTGCTAAATACCACAGCTGTGTGTCTGTGAGGGTTTACCAGGTCTATGGTGTTCTTTCTGTTCGTCTCTGACAGTGTCTGTTCCACAAAGGTTTCCCAGCGCCCTCTGTAGTCCTCTGGCAGCTCTACATTCAAACACACATGATCGGTACCTAAAATAACATTTGAGTGATGTGAATTTGCTTCAGCTGTCACTTCCTTTCCTCAGTGTCACATGTACCTGTGATGAGGCCACTTATTTGGGTGTGGACCGGGCCCTTTTCCAGGTTGTGAACCACTGTGTTGGCAATCCTGGTCAGATGTCCCATGTACCCTCTTCTCATGCCTCCTTCTGACCTGACCAAACATACATGCTTAATGAAAACCTGCTTTTTGCCCCACAAAAATGTATTTAAAAAATATCAAGATATCAAACACTTACTGTATTCTATCATTCCCTTCCCAAGCCTCCAGAATCCTCTGAACAAGGTGGCAGTGTTGGAACAACTTAAGAGAAAGAATCTTTCCTAATAAGACCACTTCCCAGTCAATTAAATATCATTTGAACAGAGAGACGAGCTCAGAAACCTACATGAGTCACCAGTAAGTTGTGTGCAGAGTTTTCAGATGTGTCTGAAGGTTCCAAAGTTGGGGCCTCGCTTGCATTCTCCTCTTGTGATGCGTCTTGAGCTTTGGGTGTTTCCTGGGATCCAAATCCAGGCTGCAGCCTCATTTCATGGACACAAGGACGGACGATGGCGGCCACACAGAGCTCCACTTGGAGGTGCAGGAAGTTGTTCCATGTGTACTTGAAGAACAAGTTCTGAAATGGGGTGTGAATTTTTCTCAAGATCATTTAACAACCCTCAGAAGGTGGATAAAAATACCCCCCCCCCCCCCCCACACCTATCTCACCAAAAGCAGGTCCAACGTGTTGAGTTTGCAGAGCTCTTGTGCTACGACTGCATGACTAGCAGAGCTGGTATAAAGCAGAGAGGCCACTAGTCTGGCTACGTGCAGACGTGTGTTCCCCAGTGGTTCCTCCAACACACCCAGAGTTGTCAACATGGGATCTTGCTAAAAATAAAAAAAAAATACACAAATATACATATTGCCTGTGACATGCCTATCCTTCAAATACAAAAAGTCAAAGGAAATATCTTCATATTTAGGAAAATTGGCATAAAACAAATGATTTAAACCATTTTGTCACATAGCTAGCATATTTTCCTTTGATTTTGGCTTAGCTAAAGTGAAACAGGAAGTGACATCAAAGGTGAACTCTTTAAGGTAAATAAATAAATTATGAATATCATAAAATCATAAATCCTGAACCGAAATTTCCATGACTGCAAAACACGTATTTTACTTCTGACTGGTATCCATCTGTTCACATGATTTGGTCATGTGAACAGGGGGATTAAAGAAATTTAGAGTTAGGGAGGTTAGTACTGATGTTAGATGCACAACACCACATTCTTAAGTTCTCCTTTTTGAAATATTGACAGTGTTTAATCTATTATGTCTTGATTGAAATAGGTCTAGTTACATGTCTGAAACATCTTTTACAACACAATAAAACGCTTGAACGACAGATGAGAATTGTGTCTGAATGCCTGTGACTCAGCCGTAGGTCAGCAGCGGGGCGAGCGAAGGCATTGAAGAAACTGGATAAATACATCAGCTTCCGTTTTATGGGCAGTGTGGGTTTCCTGTCTGCATCAGCGACAATAAACCTCACTCAGATTCCAGACTGGTGTTGTATGGTTTCCATTCCTTCTACAAATCACATTAACATTTGTGTTTATCATCTCGACTTCAGTTTATTGAATACAAATTTTCTTACACATTCATTTACATTTTATACGCCATGACCATCGGCTCCAATTAGTTACAGGCAAGCCTATCTATTGTATATACCTTAATTACTTTTTTCTCCATCATGTTATTCCATGCCCCTTCCTATTCCAAAAATTTGATAATGTATTGACCGGAATTTCATCATTTGTAATGTAATTGTCAAGTATTTCTGTTTTTCTCTTTGTGTTTGATGATTGTACAGCATCTTGTGAATTCCATTTCTGTGAAAGGCGCTCTATAAATAAAATTTTAGTTACTAAGAAAACTCCCTGATCTTTGTTTATTAAAACGATATTATTTGAACTCTGACTTTTATTCATCTCTCTCTTATAGGGACTAAAATTACCTAAAAAAAAAAAAATCAGAAAATTTCCTGCTGTCTGTGTTGTTAGCCGTTATAACAATGCTCTGTTTACATGCAGAAATTCCCCTTTGACATCACTTCCTGTTACTTCACATGCAAATATCTCAACAACCGTTCATCTCAGTGGTGTGAAATTGCTTTTGCAATATGCTAATCATGTTGTCTTTCCTTAAGTGCAATCACATTTATCACAAAAAATCTGATGTAACAGGCACTTTAAACACTCAACAACTCAATTTTATACTGAGAACTTCAGAAATGACTGTTGTAGAATCTTGTTTTTAGAACCTCTTGAGGATTTTTAGAATTGCTTGGGTACCTTGGGCGGCTGCAGAAGTAGCTGGTGGAAGTGTATCAGGTGTGGCTGAATAGCCAACAAAATACTGCTGTTAACAGTGTAGCTTCTCTCAAACCCCTGAGCATCCATCACACCATCCACCCTGTCGTAAACACAGAGAAACAAAACAGTAAACACCTTCCTCCGAAATAAAACAAGCTACAGATAATAACATAAATCAAATCAATTTAAAAATTATGATACAAAGGCAGGGATTGGAAAAAACAAAACAAAAACAATGATCTATATAAATGAGAAATTTTCAGTTTCAGTTAGACTCTCACTCACACGGGCCTCCGAATTTCCAGCAAAGTCAAAAGAACTTGAATCCCGCTGACGATACAGCTTTCAGTCCTCTCTCCTGAAAACATGTTCTGCAGCAGCTGCTCCACACACTCCTGCCTGCAGAAACACGTTGGGGAGCACGTCATCCCCTCTGCATCCAGATTCAAAAAAAAAAAAAAGAGAGAACAGGTGTGTGCGCATGAGCGTCTCAGTCACTTACGACTCCAGCACAGTCAGCAGCGGGTCAGGCTGGGAAATCTCCTGTAGCTGACTGGCCTGGTCTCTGCTAAGACGAATTATGTCACATAAAGTCTGAGATGCATTTGACTGCCTCTGGAGGACAGAAAAAAAAACAGAAATTGATGTTAGGTCTTAAAACATTCCAGATTTTGGAACATACATACATACTGTATGTATTTTCATACATATATAATCACAAAAACATGGCACCAAAAAAAAAAAACAACAAAAACAAAAACATGTCAGTTTTCATCTACCTCTTCGTCTCTGTCGGGGTGAAGGAGCTCTATGAGTCTCTGAGCCAGTTTCTGCTCGTTCAGCCACTGTTCAGAATAAAAACAAATCGATTCCACACAGATGTCCTCTTTTGGATTTTTATGACAAGAGCGACGTAAAGTTTTGAGCGTCACTTACAGTAAGGGTTTCGAGTCGAAGCGGCGGAGGCTCCACGCAGCTGATAAGGCGCAAAAGCACATCCATCATGGCCGATGTATCGATATGCTTCAGGACCAGAGAAAGAAATTCATCCTTCCTTTGCAAGAAACTGATCACCTGTTGAACACATACAGAAGAAACACATTTACATGAAACAGAAGATTTATTAGATAAGATTAGATTAAAAAAGATGCATTAATCTCCATTTCAGGAAGGTAAATCAGGGTACATGAGCAGGTATTTCAAAACTTCTGAAGTTCATCAGGACTGTTTCAGTTCTCTTCTGCCACTTCCTATCTGTAACTGAGACAGGAAGTTCTTTATTTTCCTCTTTTCTTTATTTTATTTGTGCCTCCTAGTGTCCTTCCTCTTTTGCCCTTCTATCGGAAGCCTTGAAATTTAAATCAGCAGCAAGATCTTTGAGGGATCACTTCCTAAAATGCAGCTAAATGTCAAGAGAACAGGACAGGAAGCTTGACTGAGTTCAGAGTTCATACGATAAAAGTGTCTGTGCAGAAATCTTTCAGGCATCATCCACGAATAAAAGCGGGAGTTTCTGTCAGACAAGCAGCAGAATCTTGCAAGAACAAATTGAGAAATAAATGTATAAACAATCTAAATAGGATGTTTGTAACTATACACATAAACAAACTGAGCTGCATGTGTTCTTAGCACAACCCAGTCAGTGCCCAGGCCTGGGTAAATGTTGAGGGTTGCGTCAGGAAGGACATCCGATGAAAAATGTTTAGCCAAAAACAAACATGAGAGTTTGTGCAACAGCGTGACTCGCTGTGGTGACCCCTGAAGAGGGAACAGCCAAAAGAAGAAAGAAAACAAGTGTATTTACTAACAAATGGCACTAATAAGAGGGACAATGACCTGAATCTGACGACAAAAAGTATTCATAGCAACAACTAGTTAGGGGTCACTAAAGTCATTTTAGACAATAAATACAAGAAAATCTGAACGATTTAGATCTGTTGGGTAATCAGGCAAACTGGTCTTTAAATCCTCAACTCCCTTGGATATTAAAAAACAAAACTTAATAGTTTGGCTGCATGTGTTGGAACATCTGGATGTTATATTACAACAAAATAAAAAGCTAGAATAATCTAAAAGGTGGAAGTCAATTGCTTTGAGAACAATTAAAATGATTGTGCATATAATGCCCACTCAGACTGAATGAAATCACAACTAGGGATGTCCCGATCCAGATTTGTTGGCTCTCGATACAATCCGATTTTTCTAATGATTAGTTCTATCCAATACTGATCCGATAACTTTATTTCTTTCCAAGTGACAAGGTTGGTAGTTTTAAAGCGAGCCCTGCTGTTCCCACCACGAGAAACATCTGGTTTGCAGATTTTGCAAGATGCAGTTCCAGCATCATTGTTCTCCACTGAAAAGTGTTCCCACACTGTGGACATGGTTGCATGCTTGCTTGCATCTTGACTTCTTAACGGCAGTTGTAAAGCATGATGATGCTGAAAACTGTTGTGAAAACTGGATCGGCCCAATCACATGACTAAATCTGATTTTACCCGATTTTTAAAAAATGGCCGTATCTGCCACCGATACTGAGTATCTGATCGGGACGTCCCTAATCACAACAAGACTTAATTCTTTCTCTTCTAAGCGTCTTTGATTTCGTAATAGGACTGTGTGTGTGTGAGAGTGTGCGTGTGTGTGTGTGTGTGTGTATGACCTGCTCAGTCTTCCGTGTGATGAGGTTCCCAATTGTCTTGCTAAAGAAAGATGCCAGCAGAGGGTTTAGTGGGGACGGCTGCTCCAGGAAAGCATACAGGGTTTCCAGCAGAGGCTCATCATTACCCAGCTTATCATTGATCACTCCCACATCACACGTTAGCAGCTCACACGCTGTATTTGAATACCTGTTAATAAATGTAAAAGAACGTGTCGGTAAAACGTTGCAGTAAAATGACACAAAAAAGGATAACTAACGATTTCCATTTCTGAACTGAGTGTACTTGTGCTGGTTGACTGTTCATCAAGCATTTAATTAAAGGGGACCTATTGTGCAAAATTCATTTTGTAAAGGTTTTTTTACTCAACTTTGGGTACGTACTTCTTAAAAAAAACAGTCCTAGGACCAAAAAAATGCACCCAGGGGCTTATTTACTGTAAGTAAATGTATTTTAATGTACATTAACGGTAAGTTTTATACTTCCGTTATTTTGTGATGTCACAAGCCGTACGACAACCCACCTGAACCTGCGTTCAGCCCCTCACCTAGCAACCCCTGGGTGAGACTCCACCTCCTCAGTATAAAAAGCTGACACGGTTGTTGTTGTGCAATGTGCAGCTCATTTAACAAGAACAAGCCTCCAATAGGGCAATGGGTAGAGTGTTGGACCAGAGTGGGAGACCAGGTTTTGAGACCGGCATGGACACAATTTATTTATTTATTTTCATTCGTTATGAACACATTTTCTCATGTACCTCTATTGTTTAGCTTATTAAAGCTTTGTCAAAGCCCATTTTTTCGATTTTCTGAGGTATTTTGACCGCTGCTGCTCCCTGCTCTGGTAACAGCATGCAGAGTGAGCTCAGAGCAGAGGAGGGAGAGAAAAAAAGAAGCTTGGACCACGACTTTGCCTCTGGGTCTCTCATATAGTTGTACAACGGTGTTCCTGCTAACATTAGCCATGCTAACGTAAACGCTGGCTTTGGAGGGCGGAGTTAATGTCAACRGATTTTTGGAGGGCGTTACCAACAGAGCTCATTAACATAAACAGCTCTTCTGAACGGAAGTCAGAGCAGGCAGAACTAGAAAATAGGAAATTTTATTATCTGAGAATTATTTTGTGCATTAAATTGAATGAACATGGTCTGGATAGCCCACAGACATACCATAAAAATTTCTAGGACCCATAATTGGTCTCCTTTAAACTTTGGCATTTTGAACATGTCTGAACAGGTTAGTTGAATCTAGATTTTTATTTATTGTATGCACTTTAAGCTCTTGGGCCATCTTTAAAGTGACAGGTAAGCAGTTTGACACAGTGCAGCACCAGCAAAAGTCAGTTTTCCCTGATGCTCTGTTTACTACTTCAGCATATTTCCTCACAAATCCCCTACTTGAAGCGCTTGGTCTCATCAGCACCAGCAGGGGGCTCTGTCGTAATCAGCCGGACCAGCTCCTGCATGCTCTGGTCCTGGCACAAGAACTGAAGCAGTCTGGAAATTCACAATGAACGGTACGTAAGTAAGCATAAACAAGTGACACTGAAAAGATGTGAAATTTTACACGCAAAAGCAAATAATAAGCAGACCTCCTGTTTTGGGCCTTGCACTCCTGCAGCACATCTTCCTCATCCAGCAGCTCACTGAGCGTGATATCCTCTTTGTCCAGCAAAGTCTCCAGATGAGAGGATGTGTTCAAGTCAAACTTCCAAAACATGGCGACCGTCACAAACATACACTTAGCTGTTGAGCAGAAAATTATTTGATGTGGAGATTAAAAAAAGGGATAATAAATGACACAATTACACATTTTAGACATGCATATAGTAAATATCTTCTGAGCTGCATCCTTGGGGGATCTTACTAAAGAGCTGTTTACCATACAGAGGTATGACAGTGAAAATTCACACATTCAAGTCAATCATACCAACACCAGATCCACAAACTCTGAAGAGGCTTCCTTCAACTCATTTGTGATGGAGTATTATAAATGTTTATTTCTCCACAGCAAAAGATAAAGTCAAGCGAAACACTCGACTCTGAAACAATCAGGAAGAAATGCATCTGTAATTGGATTTATTTGTGCACATCGATGCACTGATATTACACAGCTAGCTTTATGGGATCAAGAAACAAACAGAGGGAAAAAATAACTCATGCAGAATGACATTTTAATGTGTAGGAAGCTGTTTTTTTAAATGTTGCACAGCTGACAAAATTGCTGCAAAGTGCAACCACCGTAGGTGTAGTGATATTCTTCTCCACCTGACATCTGCTTGAGCTTTATCAAACCACAGAAACATTATACCGTGCTAACAAAACTGTCAAGTGCTCAGTCCATTCATCATTAAAATGCTGGTTAAAATATCCCAAAGTCTGTGGTTGCATTGACACGAAAAGACAAGGCTTGTCTTTCTATTGCACATATGATTACATATTTAGAGCCAACTGATGACAAGCCTGACAGCTGTTTCTGTAAACAAACAAACAAACAATACTAAAATCTGACGTTAACAGCCATGCTCTTTCACAGTAGCTTGATATGAAAGTGCTCATGTTCGCTGTTAAAACACATGAGCTACAGCAGGATACCTGTAATGTCCGTTAGCTTATCCATACAAGTTCATGCTAACACCTAGCTTCATGCATTTAACGGCGGTGCCTTTCCCAATAACACTGCACGCAAATCGTAAAGCCGACACTTCGCTCGCATCGCTAGCAGCGTTTCCGAAGTATTTCAATGTCGAAGACGCGCTGCGTTTAGATCAACAAGCTAACAAAATTGACCATGGCCAGGGGCTGCAGAAAATATAGGGGCGACATTCTCGTTTCGAGCTTCACAGTCTTCCGCCAACTTGACAGTCAGTCAGACAGGCTTGGTTTAAATTGCCATCACTTCATAAAACGCAAGCGACGCTTACCTCTGAGCCATCTTTTTTTTAAACAATCTGCGAGCTGGAGAAACGGCGACCTCGGTTGTCAGGTCACCCGGAGGCCCATAGTAAGTCTACTGTGTTGTTAGCTTAACGATGCTACCCCTGGTTCCTGGCTGCAATGTCATTTATTACTGCCGCTCGGTGGCCGCTCCACTGCAGCACCGTGTGGACACACAGCAGTCAGGCAGCAAAACAGAAAAACCTGCTTTCGAAATCAAAATGGCGACTACCTAATTTATTATTAACCCTCCAGCTGTCCCAGTTTTAGAATTTGAGCAGACCATGGTAGACGTAACACACGTGATTACTGTGTGTGTGTGTGTGTGTGTGTGTGTGTGTGTGTGTGTGTGTGTGT